GCCCCCACTCAGGTTCACCCTTGGCCGTGCTGGCACGGCACACTTTATAAAGATACGCCTCCACGCTCGAGGGCGGGTTCCTGCCTCAAACCTCGCCCTTACCTGAAACAGCTCCTGGAAACAGCTCAGGAAGGGTGCAGCCATTTCCAAGACAACCCCTGCAGGACTGACTTCCTTCCGGTTGGTCGAGCCTCGGGTCGTGGTGTTACACCCAGGGTTTTTATTATATAGGATGTGATTTCAAGTAGTGGTGGTTGTGAAGGAAAATCAAACAGGTTGCATGGCTAGATAGTGATGGGGTGGGCAGTTAGAGAGGCTTCATTGAGGAGGTGACGTTTGAGCAGAGGCATGAAGGATGTGAGGGCAGAGCCATATAGAGTCTTATGGGGTCTCAAGGAAGTACTCCACACACAGTGAAGAACCCAGAAACCCTCAAATACCAATGAGGGCTCTGGAAGGGATGCTGTTTCTCCTGATTTGTTGCTTTTGCTGATTTCCTCACCCGGTGTTTTCTTCTATGAACCCAAATGTACACCTGGACCTGCTTTCCTTCAGTTTCTCTCCCAACACCTTTATCTCTTTACCTCAAGAATGTATATGGCAACACTGATGCTGTGTGTTATTTCCTCTTCCTGGGCACACCTGAGGACACATTTCCCAGCTTCTCTTGCAGTTAGATTTGGCCTGTGTGACTGAGTCTGGGCTAATGGGGGTGTGGGTAGCCACAAAACCTCCTACATCAGGGGTCCTCAAACTTTTTAAACAGGGGGCCAGTTCACTGTCCCTCAGACCGTTGGAGGGCTGAACTATAGTTTAAAAAAAAACTATGAACAAATTCCTGTGCACACTGCACATATCTTATTTTGAAGTAAAAAAACAAAACGGGAAGAAATACAATATTTGTATTTGCATGTGGCCCGCGGGCCGTAGTTTGAGGACTCCTGTCCTACGTAGTTCTCCATAGTCCTCCACGATCCTCTCCCCATTCCATGGTGACTCCATGGTGACTTTGGAGATCCCATATGTAGGATGGAGGTGTCAGATACAAAACTAAAAAGGGGCTTGGTTCCCTGAGTTACTGCTTGGAGGAATGCTACCAAGGAGACCTCCATCAGATATGACCAAGAAATAACTTGTTTTAAGTCCTTGATAATATTATTTTTTTAAATCCTCACCCGAAGATATGTTTTTTATTGATTCTGGAGAGGAAGGGAGAAGGAGAAAAAGAGAAACATCTATGTGAGAGAGAAACATCGACTGTACACCCCAACCAGGATCAAACCTGACAACTGGATATGTGCCCTGACCAGGAATTGAACCGGAGACCTTTTGTTACAAGGGAAGATGCATCAACCAACTGAGCCACACCAGCCAGAGCTAAGCTTTTGAGATTTTTAAGGGTTGCTTGTTATAGCAGCTAACATTAATTATCCTAATACAGTGAATGCATCTAACATTTACTGAAGGTCAGCATGTGAACATGTGTGTGAGCCAGGAGGAATCATTGCAGGACAATCAACAAGGTAAAATTTAATATGGAATATCCTTATCCTCAAAACTGCCCACCATTGTGAATTTGCCACTGGAGGTGTGCTCTCCCCAGGTCTGGATTTCCTGCCCTTCTGCTGCCCTCTCTCATCTCTCCTTCCCTGACATCTCTCCCTGCCTCCCTCCTCATCCCCTTCCTCTAAGGCTGTCTACACTCAAATCAAATTTATCTCACTTTCTTTTGAAGAACCATTCACTCAACCCTTCTTACAGACCATATCTTCACGCACACATGATCCATGATTAGTTCAACTGACACTGTTAATAATGACAATGATAATGACCTAGCATGTACATGCCAAACACTGTTCATCAAATGTTTTCCCTGGATGAATGTATCTGTTCCTCATCACAAACTTAAAGGAAGTTACTTAAAGGAAGTTCCTCATTTTGCAGATGAGGAAACTGAAAAA